TAGCTTTACGTGTGGTCGGTGTTTGGAGTTTATAAAGGTCGCGGACCAGACGGAAACACCAGGCATACTGCATCAATGTGTTCAATATTTTAACGAGGGCCATTTGTACGCTGTAATCATAGACATAATGTCAAGTCTACACGGTGTAAACATCTGCTTAAGGACTCTTAACAGTAAACTGAATGAAGCCGGTGTCACGGTTTAACTGGTGTCCGTGTTAACTGAGACCCTTTCCAGATGTAAACTATTCACGTTTACAGATTGGCATATTCGTCACTTTTTCACAGCAACAAAACATGCCCTTACTGAATAAATATTCTTATTACTTGGTGTCAGTGTTATTGTAAACATTATTGATTTGAATATTTGTGACAGAACAGTACAAAACTAAAGTTAATGTAAAGAAATTATAATAATTGACATGTCATCAACGGGATTCGAACCCAAGTTAAAAGGTTCTGCGCGAGAAGCAACTGACTTATCTAACTGAGCTACTCAGGTCTACAGGGCTGATTTTGATATCTTTATCAGTCAACAAGTGCCGTGCTTTCATTGTTTACCATGTTCGATAGCTCTAACATGTTTTATTGCAGTTGGTCAAGCCATGATTTTTAAAGTTGTAGACTCGTGGAAACCTGTCTACAAAGTCACACACGAACTGGATATTACTGATATTTTTCAGTGTGTGGAACATCAAGCTGGACTTGACTCAGGGCTGATTTATCAGTGTGACCCATGGCGTCTGCCTTGCGCGTAGTCGTGTATTTATACTTCTGTGTGCTGTTTGTGTTGCTCTGCAATAACACTTCTGAAACGCTAGCTGGCTGTGGGTTTTATGTTGCTTTGTGTTGAGTTTCTTCGCAGGCGTTTTTTATTTTTCTGAATGCTACCTTAGTGTACCCATAGCTAAAACTCCCTCATTCAGAAGCTGGAGACGGCGGACGTGCATCAACATTAATCATAAGATAAACACATAACAACAATTTCCATATAGAGCTACTTTACAAACTCAACACTTGTAAACACTTGATCCAATGGATTGGCACTGCTCTCGGTCCATCCACACTGGTCACAGCTATCAAGCCGACCAATCACAGAGCTTGTGCTATGCGTTGTTGCGACGAGTAGTTGGTTTTTTTGAGAGGTGCACGTCAGCGTCAGCGTCAGCCACAGCAAGGACTATGCGACCACGAGAAGGCTGCACTGGACCATACGCATGCGCTTGACACAGAAGTAGCCTTTAGTCACAAGCACCACTGAAAGTCTCAATCATCCAGGTAGAGTTTCTGGAGGAGTTGATGAACTCGCAGAGCTGGGTGCACCTCTAAATGGATCTAGTAGACTCAGACATGGCGCCAAACATGTATGTGCTGTTTTTCAGCCTTCCTTAAGCACATAAACACAACTAATCTCACAATTAAAATCTATGTTGGCCATTTAGCAAGGAAGCTAGAGTCACCAGGCAGACCACTTCCACAAAACAAATATAAAATGCATTTGATCAGATTGACTTTCGGCCTACTGACTTAGTATGTGCTAAACAAGGTATTCAATCAAGGTATTCAAATTTCAATGCATTATACACATAGTTTACGATCAAAGTTGCCTTCTAAATCCTTTTCATTGACTTGCTTTCCAGCTCACTTTGGCCCTGTACATACCTTAATTGTGTTTTTGTTAATCTTATCAAAAGGAGACAACACTAAATACAGGACGGGGTGTAAAATGTTTTGAGCACGTCCACTTTCTACCAAATTTGAAGGTAGTTGAAAACACATTCAAACAGACTGCTTTTACAATATTTAATGAACAAGTAGTGGAATGTGTTCGAAGAGCCACTAAACACCACATTCTCTCTGCCTACTGAGCGAACATGTTATTATTGGTGACGTGTTGCTGGAAAGCAAAACTGGGAGCACACTTTTTAAATGGGATTTAAACTTTGTCGAGTTAAACCACATTTATTTAGATATTTTAAAATCACTACATAAATAAATGGATCCTCGTAGTTGGATCTCAAGTGAGACCAGGTAAATTTGTTTTTTTTTTTCATTTAATTGTACGAGTTCATTGCTCTGATCACTTCTGCAAAAGTGAGAAAATAATCCAGCTTGAGTGGTCCCAAGAGATGTATTTGAAAGCAAGTTAATACCAGGTGGAAACAGTTATGCATTTCAGCTGACCACTAAAAAAAGAAAATAAAAATAACTGAAAACACATTAATTTGGGTAAAAAAAAAAGTCTGGGATAAACTGCTAAACTGATATGGATTTGTTTGGGATTTTGTTACTGAAACATTAGGGTTTTGAATGAACAGACTTTCAGGGGGAAACCAGAAATCTTAAACATATTGGTAAATCTTTACAATACAATATGGGATATGTATTTACTAACATATAACATATGGTGGAATAAGTTGGCGGTTCATTCTGCTGTGGCAACCCCTGATTAATGAAGGGACTAAGACGAAATGAAAATGAATGAATGAATGAATGTATTGTTCATTGTTTGTTCATGTTAGTAATAAACAAATTATCTAACATTAATTACATTAAATTAATTCATTACTAAAAATATTTTCAATTGTATTCTTGAAAATTAACACAAGACTTTTAGATTGACATGAGGGCGAGTAAATGATGACAACATCTATCTGCGTGTCACTACATGAGACATGTTGCTGAAGCAAGTCCATCTGGACAGCATCCCATCTCCAAGTGTTTCTGACAGGGGCGGAGCACAGCTGGCCCTCCAGGCTGTCCTAAAAACACACACAGCCAATCCAGACGCAGATAACACCTGGAGTGGCAGGTGAGCATGTCATCAGACTGACAAATGACACCAATTAAACCATTAGAGAGTAAGACAGGGGACAGATCTGTGGCACTACAGGAAGAGAGCCGATGTACACACATCATTAACATCGATTTATTTAATTAGTGCTACATTCAGCACTAATTGATCAAACCTAGAGAAATTGTTCACCAGACTGTAAGGAGCTGGAGGGCATTGGATTTTACAGCATATAGTAGATTCTCCCTTTCAACAGATACAAAAGCTCTGACCCTTGATCCCAATTAATGAAATTGGAACACAGATACACACGATAATTACTAACTGCTGCCGCTTCACACGGAAACTGTTTTTGTTTTGATCCTCTTTGTTTGTTTTCCTCAGTCCCATTCCGTAAACACCCATTTAATGGATATTCTCAGATTTGATCTGATTTGCATAGTCTGAAATAGCCATTGTTGATGTTATTGATATACTTTTATACCAGTTTAATAATATTTTGATTTTACTTGTTTCATTTTCTTCTGTTGTACACAAAAGAAGACCAAATGTTTCCAACAGCCATTAACTTCAATTGTATTTTTCAGTATACTTTGGAAATTATCCCTTTAGCAAAACCAGTTTTAGAAATTGTGCGCTGCAAGTGCACTTGCATTTCATACACTTTCTCCCATTGAAAAAAACAGCATGCATGAAGTAAAAACATACATGTTACTGCATCCACCAATAGATATATAGCATCAGTTGAATTGCTGTTGCTTCGGTTTCCCCCATAGTCCAAATACATGCGGTACAGGTGAATTGAATAAACTAAATTGGCCACAGTGTATGTGTGTGGATGAGTGTGTATGGATGTTTCCCAGTGCTGAGTTGCAGCTGGAAAGGTATCCACTTTGTAAAACATATGCTGGATAAGTTGGAGGTTCACTCCGCTGTGGTGACCCCTGATGAATATACGGGACTACGCCGAAGAAAAATTAATGAATAAATTAATTAATTAATCAATGAATTAATGATTATTAATGTTATTCATTCTCACAATTCAGAATCTGTATGACTGTGGTCATTTTTGGCATATACATTTCGATATACCAAGTAATCAAAACTACTAAACATACTGCTTTTTGCTCATTATATTAAAGACAATCTCAGTCCTGGAGGGCCGGTGTCCCTGCAGAGTTTAGCTCCAACTTGCCTCAACACACCTGCCTGGATATTTCAAATATACCTAGAAAGACCTTGATTAGCTTGTTCAGGTGTGTTTGATTAGGGTTGGAGCTAAAATCTGCATGACACCGGCCCTCCAGGAACAAGTTTGGTGACCCCTGACTCAGAGTTACTTTTATGTGTAATGCTGCAGCAATTATTGAGGTGATAGTTCAATAAGAAATTAAATGTACTCTATTTCCTCACCATCAAGTGCTTTCAAACATTTATCAAGTTTCTTTAATCTGTTGAACACAAAATAAGTGTTTGAAAAAGCTTAAAACCTATAACCATTGACTCCCATAGTAGGAAGAACAGATAGTATAGAAGTCAATGGTTACAGGTTAACAGCTTTATATATATTATATATTCTTTTTGGTTCAACAGAAGAAAGTCAAACAGGTTTGGAACAAGTACACAGTGAGTAAATGATATCCCTTTGACAGACACAATATAAAAGTTTGAAGGCTCACTGAAAGGCTAATTAAAGCCAACTAGCCACACTTGTAATTAGTTATAATTATTCAGATGCATAGTCATGTGATTTAAAAATGGCAGCACCTTGGAAAGGTGCCTACAATGCCTACAATGAAACCCCAGCTAGTTTTGATCACAAATTATTTTGCCTGAACATTATACTTATAAAAAAGGTTATTAATTGATTTCTTTGTGCATAGAACTGTAATCATGAAAAATGACTGCCTGTGCCTTTAAGGATAAACAGATCAAAGTTTGCCTGGTGGAAACAGTGAGACATGGAAGGACACGTTACCACACTTAAACCCTTTAATAGGCGCAGGTGTGTTTTAGGTTGCAGGCATGAAGCAACACAAATCTGGGAGCGTTTTTGGGCTTAGTCACCTCACATTCACTGGGGCTGAGCTCCTGAAAAGCACCGCGCGCTGCGTTACGCACAGGGACCGCAACCGCAATCCTGCGTAATGAGGTTAATTGGAAACAGTCAACAGGATGAGTGCGAATTAAAATAACTGTGTTCCTACCGTGTATTTGTAGAGTTCCAGTATACAACGTGTCTCTTTGCAGTCGTTGACAAAACGTGTATAAACAGCGCCAGAAGTCTCATCATCGCGCAAACTCCAGAGCACCTTGGCGTGTTCATGACTGAAGTCGACCAAGCCCTTGTGGGCAGATGATGAAACGAGTTTTGAAAACTGTCGGAGACTCAGTTTGGAGTCAAAATCAGCAGCAAAACTTCATTCAGCTAGAGTAGAAACACTGATCCCGAGGCGTTAGGAACTCGGAAGGCGCTTACTAAGAAACAGATGCATTTTCTGCTTACTAAATGCAACTAAAGGATTGCATGTTTAGCAAGTTACAAAACATATATTGACGTGTGAGATAAGTTCATATAGAAACATTCTTGAGATTCTTTGGGACGCTTGGTATTTCTTTTTGAAGAGAAGTATTCCACTTTACGCTGAAATAGGAACTTCTTTATCTTCAAATGTAAATCCAGTGTTTGTCTGTAAGTTCCAAGTTTGACAACAACTCCAAACTTCTTGTGAAGGGATTAGTTGACCATTGTTTGTATCCGCAGGACGCGCTCAATCACGGCCGTTGATAGTTGACAGTGATTAGGAGTGACTGGAGAGCGTTTCTGGGCAGGGCGGAGGACACCAGGGCGTGCCATTCAAACTTTGAGCCAATCGGCGATCGAGGAGGCGGAGCCAACATTCCATAGTTTTTAAAGGTGTGCTGGGCAGTGCTCTGACAGCTCCACTTTCGCTTAATGTGCCTCAAAAGTTTCTTCCTCGTGAACTTTTTGCCACGGGCAGTCCTTTTTGTTTGATTTAATTTACACTGTTGTTGTGATAGAAAAAATATATTTTTATAAAGGAGAAACATGGTCATAAAAACAACACGGTGAACTATGTTGTAACATGATTATAAATGAACCGTGCAGCATCCAGTTCTCCATTCTTGGCATATGAAGAGTAACATATAATTTTACATTCAATTATAAGAGAATATTTAGTATTATTCATCATGGGCGAATTAAATCATTTTAATTAATAATAATAATAAAGATGTTTATAATTCTACAAAATATTTAGATTTAATATAAATGCTATTTTTATTTTAACTTCCTATTTCTAAAACAAGCACTCTGAAAATGTTGAGTTGTTTCAAACCCAATTTGAATAAAATATGGAAAAACCCAATGGTTTAGATAAAGTTATTGTTCGGATGGTGTTTAATTTGTTAGTTAACTTTATTTGTCCCCGTAGGGAAATTTCATTTGCAGCATACACTCATAGATACATCTGACGATTCACATTTGGCATTTATATAAATAAATCATTAAAAAAAATATGGTACCTCTAAATAAATAATTCAGTCTACTTGCCATCAACTGCAACCGAGAGATGAGAAATTTAAAAGCTTAATTGCTTGAGGTATAAATGATCATTTTATCCTATTGTTTATGCATCTGGGAACTCAATATCCGTGTCCTGATGGTAATAATTAGAAGTTGTATGATAAAGGATGTCTCTCATCATTGACTATGATGATAACCTTATGTAAAACTATCAATGCTCTTTAGTTTTATTCCCAACTTACTGGCTGTTGTCACCACCTTCCCCAGTGATCTGGGTTTATCCATATTTTGCCCAAATAACTGAAATAACTGTATTTTGAAGGAAACACATAAAAAAATAACAACAACAAACTAAATAGTAAACAGGAGAACTTATTTTAACATTCATAATAATAACAGTTTCTTGTGCAGAAAATCAGCATTAAAATTATATCTAAATGGTCTTGTGACACTAAGACTGGATACATATTTAGCTTTCCCATGATAGAAAGTTTTTTAAATAAAATGTTTGACCAATAATAAATGTTTTCAACTTTAAACATTATATAATAACAAATGGTTCCATTTTTTGTGATTGAAAATCAGGGTTATTCCACCACTTTTTGATTTATTAGCTCCTCTGAAGTTAAAACATTGCTATTCTTTCATCTGAATACAACAATATCTGAAAAGATGGCACCTTTATGTTATTATTTTATGCATTTATATGAATTAAGACTCTTAATGACAATGTTTATTTGAGTTTTGGAAAAAGAATTGTAACCAGTTGCTTACAGAATAAAACTAACAACATGTTTTATTCAAACACATAAACTACACTATAAATCATAAAACCAGACAAACTGGGAATTTAAGCAGTCTCTTATTTATTTATTTTTTCCATTGCATCTACAAGTACTATTGTTATTAGCAGCTAAATTTAAATGCTTATTTTTGCTTCTCATGAGTAATATGTTGTTAAGCTATTGCCATGTCACCAAACAATGGGCTGCTTATTAACCAGTATAACTAGCTCAGTACCATTTAAGCAGAACCCACAGAATGAGGACATTTGTTTGGCAGAGAATTATTCACAGTTATTACACACCTTAATTCTCCTCCTCAGAAACTGGTTATTCACGAAAGGGGAAAAAAGGCTGTTTTCCTTCACCACTGGGAATGTCTTACACGTGTTTAGTGTTTACCAGCATTAGTCCAATTCAAGCTCTTATTTTTAGTCCTGCCCAATGTGTTGTTTCTGTTTTTCTGCATTTTTATTTAAAGTGATAGTGATAGTTTAAGGTAAACATTCTGTCACCATTTACTCACTTTTTGAAAACCCTTATGAGTTTTGTTCTTCTGTTGAACAAAAAAGAAGATATTTTGATGAAGTTGGACATCTGTAATCACTAAATTTCATATTTGATTTTCCTACTATGGATGTTGATGGTTACATTTTTCAGCTTTTTTCAAATTATCTTTTTTGTGTTCAACAGAAGAAAGAAACTCTTAAAGGTTTATAACTTGATGGTGAGTAAATAGTTTAAACATTTTTGGGTGGTGAACAATCCCTTTAATCCAATCTTAGGTCAAATATAGACAAACCCAATATAATAATTTAAGCCAACAGTTGGATTTGTAAATATTTGACCTAAAACTGTGTTAAAACAACCCAATTTTCAGAGTGTTTTTCCTTTGCTCAGAATCCCAGAATCATCTTGACATCTTTCCATACTTCAGAAGTGCCTGAGTTTGTATCTTTGAAGTTGTTTGGAGGTGCACGTCAGCTTCTGGAGACTTCTGCTCTAGTCTCTGCTTGTCTCTGTGGGAGTCGACATGTTTTGTTGTTTGTCTGTGTACGTGTGAAAGTGTTGATAGGTAAGGGAGAGGCAAAATTAATTCACCTTGCTGACGATGGAGATCCCAGGAGAGCACGTGTTCAGGCGGTAATCACTGTGGCCACCATGTGCGCCAGCAGTCGGTGGTCCCAGGTTATTATCTGTGCGTGGTAAATTACCAACCCATGCTGTGAGTAATGTGAGGCAGGTAAGAGCAGCAGCGTGGCGGGCCCATCACTCTTAGATAGTGATGTCGGGAAGCGCGGTGGTGGGTATATTCGGTTTGCTAATTCTTCCAAGTCTTCCCCTCGATATGGCACAATTTATTAATTCCCCTGTCCTCTTCTCATTAATATCACATGATTGTGCGGCGGAGTCTCTCCCTGTGTGATTTGTCCCTCTGGAGGATTCACTGTCCCCCGACATCGAAGCAGAAGTTTCTCATTCCCTCGATCTCGTAATTACACAAAAGGTCTCACCCGTAGAGGCCGAATTGGCCTCCTCTGTTATTATCTAATTAATAAAACAGCGTGATAATGGCTGACGTATGCACCAGAGAGCGGTATTCTCGCCTGGACCTTCATATCTGACACTGTGCCATTTCCTGACCACAGATTTGTCCTGTCTCATAATTAGCAGGATATTTCCAGGCTTTTGTGGTGGTAGAGCACAGCTGAGAGCCCTTGTGGAGGTCATATCTGCAGCGCAGCAGAGCTCTGATTTATATAAATGAAGATCTGGGTGCCAGTGGTCCATGCGGGCCGGGTCTGGGCTATTGTGTGGGAGTCTCAGCAGTGCTGCGGTAATTAAGAATCGGGGCTAAACGGGGAACAGTCACCTTGTGCTCCTCCAGGAGCCGCTCTGATGTGTGTTTCCTGCTCCTGTAATCAGGTGTTGTTCCAAAACTTGCATTGCTGCCTCACCCTGCTCTTGTTTTATGTAGTTTTAGTGAGCTGAACAAGAGCACAGGCTGACAGACAGCAGACATGCTCTGTAAAAAGATTCGTAGATCAAGAAAATAATGGTGAAAAAAACATCAAAGATTAGATTGTTTGTTGTTTGTATTTTTGTTTGCTTACTATCCGAAAGCTTCGGAATTTTCAAAAAACTTTGCAGCTTCTGTTGCACTTTATACTTTTTTAGGTCAGATGAACAAGCAAAAACAGTCAGTTGCATTCAGATAGCTCTACATCGAGGTATGAATCGCTAAAATAGTTGAATTGTTTGACTTTGTAGTTTATTCTAGAAACTATTGGATGTGTTCCGCATTCTGAAGGGGTCCCTACACCCTTACAGTGTGTTCACACTGAAGGCGGTGAGAACATCAAAGTTCGCTCTGGCCACCTTGGCGACAATGCTGTATGCCTTCCCTGCTCTGCCATCGAGAACATCAAAATTCACTACATTAAGTATTTAAAAGAAACTGTTGCAGCATATCAGCAAATCAGTTACATTCCCACATGAAAAACACACTTTCTTTAACAAAAATGTAGCATGCTTTTTATCAGATTCATTTTTCTATGGAAGATCAAGTTGTTCAGTGTGCTGTGGCTTTGCTCCACTTATCCAATATGTCCAAATGTCTGAAATATTCTGAATCAGCAATACTGTTTTGAAATGTCCTCATAGTTAGCATGAAATTCACACTTTTTTAAGAAAAAAAGTCAAGTTGTAATCCAGAATCTGAATAAATTTTTATGCTGCTCTAAGGTAAAAAAAAAAAAAAAAAACAGCCACATGCAACATTTTGGTAATGATGACCTTATTAATATGGAATTCACTCTTGAAATGGTAATGGTTGAAAATATTACCAATTAATAAGGATTACTATTTATGGGATACAAAATGTTTAACATTAGAGCACTAGAGCATTCTCACTAATCACCATAAGCAATCATGTTCTCATCTGGGAAAGAAAGAAAATGTGTGTTACAGCTCATGCAATGATTCTTTGAATGACAAGGCATTTTTAGAATTTGCATTACTAATGGATCATAGGTTTGCTGCTGATTGTGAGGTTAATCCTTTGCAAAATGAAGATAGAAATGGTTTGGTTGTATGGAGAAGGCTGTAAAATCATGAATCAACAGGAAAAACAATTACGGGGAAGAACAAATTCCTGTTCACACATGTGTGTTGTGAATTGTGTGGACCTTTTCCTAGAGAGGTTGTTCAGTGTGCATATATACAATAATCCATACAGGGATTTGTGTGTCAATACAGTCATTCTGCTGATCTTTGCTAACTTGCTTTGCAAGAATTTTTTGAAACCATTGTTTCACAATAGGACAATTTAAAGATAAAGTTCACCTCAAAATTAAGATTTTTTTTCTTCTTCATTATTTATCCTTTACCCTCCCGGTTCCAAACCGATTTGTGTTTCTTCTGTTGAACACGAAGACATTTTGAAGAATGTTGAAAACTTGTAGCCATTATCTTCCATAGAAATATATATAT